ATTACGCAATTTTCGCCCAGCAGAGCTTTTCCCCCGATATTGGGTTAAAGAGGGAATTTTCGGAAAGCGCTTTTTGATGCCATTTCCCACTTGGTGTCAAAAAATTCCTCCCAAGGATATGTCGATTTTTTGCGATTCACAATGGAAAAATTTGCGCAAAGTGCCGCATATCTGAGTTTTCACCTTGACTTTATCCATGTACACATCGACCTATTTTCACTTAAAAAAACATCAGAGAATTGAACAAACTAGGCTTTGCGCACTCCCTTGAGTTTGTCCATGCACACATCGATATATTTTCACTTAAAAAGTCAAAGGAGCACCCAGTTCTACAGTAGAGGCAAACAAAAAATACATTATCTCAATAAACTACATTTTAAACCAAATAATAAAATAACATAAAAATGGAAAAACCTGTTATACATTTAGCACTACACGAAGGAAATATCCACTTACCTTATTTAGAAATTCTTTCGTCTTCGGCGTGTGGAAAAAAAAGTCACAATATTCTTTAACAACATCCAAAAACTTCCTAAAATTATCTGAACTAGAATCCATATATCGACGTCGCCACATAAATTTACAAATATAAAAGTAAAAAATATCATATGTTGTTGCAGACTGTCCGGAAAATGGCTACTGTGTAAACCTTCATTTACATACCAGTCAATTAATGCTCTTTTCCCTTTCGTTCCAAATCATACAGAAACTTCAAATTAATCTTACTACATTCAGCCATTATACCATCCACACAATGAAACAAGTAATGTACTTCATAAGCAACACACACCACAAAAGCCCTTACAAAACATCCCATGCTTCAAATTTTCCCAGAATAATGCAAACGATTGCATCATAATAGGATTTTCATAATATTCAACTACTCAGGTTACCATAAATAAAACAACAACTTGGTGTTAAACGAAACAACAACTTGGCGATAAATGAAACACCAACTTCGCGATAATACAAAAAGTACTCTAAAGTCAACTCTCACCTTCAGTTTTCTACCGAGGCTTACATGTAGTTGGTTTACCTGATGACACAAGAATTTTCCTGACTGTAGGCAACTACAGTCAAAAGTCGTTAATTCAGACACCCATAATTCGGAATGTTCTATAATCCGGACCTCAAAACTAAAAACTTTCTGCGCATGCGCCGCGTTGACACATGCGCATAGGTGTTTACGCGTGCGCGTAAGACCTTTTACGACTGCGCATATGAGTGTGCGCAAGTGCAGAATACGTTTTCGCGTGCGCGTTTTATGTATAATGGACGTATAAGCTAAAATTATTTAATTATCTATTTCAGTTAATGTTGATGATTGCGTTGTTCCTTAATTTTCGAATTGGATCCGGCTTATTATTTTTTGCAGACTGTAATGCAATTTTATAAAAGTAAGCTTAAACTTTCGATTATATCAAATAGAATTTCCCATATATATTTGTTAATATGTAAAGGATCTAAAGCGAAAGTATGTTTTGAAATCCGAAATCTGTTTATCAATTTCACGCTGCTCGGCGGGGGGAAACGCCGCCCGGCGTAATGAATTGGAAGTTGATCTGTCAACACTATCCTTATCTTCAGGGCAGATGTTTTTATTTTATTTGGCTTATAATTCCTTACCAATTAGTATTTCATCTCGATGTGCTCCGTCTTTGATATGATTTAAAACAAATCCTCGTCATTATAATTCGCTTCCGATAGCGAAGAAAGTGACAGAGGTTAGTGAAAACGAAAAAATTTGATTGACAAATTAGTCGGTGTTCTCGACACAGCAATTATAGGACTTGAACAGCGTAACTTTGTAACTAAACAAGAAATTATGTCTGTTTAATAGAATTAAAGAGAAGTATTATCACATGAAACGAAGCAACTTAAACAACTTACATTGAAAGAAATGTTTAATAAAGTAAACAAATAAATATTAAGCTTTTCTTTTTGCAAATTTTGATACCCTTTAGATCATAATTGTTCTTTATTTCATAAATTACGGTTTCATATTTTAATTTTAAGAATTTCTGCATGCCATCTTACGAGATTTAAACTGATGATCTATAATCCGGAAAAATCGATAATCCGGAATCGCCGAAGTCCCGACGAGTCCGGATTAACGACTTTTGACTGTATTCGGCTCATACTTCACTTAAAATTTTAGTAAAGATCTGTACTATTATTGTGTTCTCCCAACTGTATGTCCATCATTCATCCTATAGATATCGGAATATATTTTATTTTTGAATTCACAATGAGGTTCAAACTTTGGATAGATTATGTAAAATTATATACAGAATAAAATATGCGATAAATAAAAATAAAAACCTAATTTATGCAAGAGGTGGAGACATATTATTACAGAATGGATTAAAGGTGTCTATGTACAGTGCACTTTTTTAAACTAAATTAAAAACAAAAACAATGTGAGATAATATAAGAATAGGAAACAGTAATAATAATAGATAAAATAAGAATAAAATGATTCTTAGTTAAATATAAGAACCAAGTTTCAAAATTACCAAAGCTAGGGTTAGAGTAAACTGAAGGGTACCCTTTGTATTATCACGAAGTTGTTTCATTTATCACCAAGTTCTTGTTTCATTTATGGTGAACTGAGTAGTTGAAAGTTCCGTAAATATACTTTTACCTAGAATTAGATGCTCCCTTGACTTTTTAAGTGAAAATATATCAATGTGTACATGGACAAAGTCATGGAAGTGGGCAATGCCAAGTTTGTGCAATTCTCTGATGTTTTTTAAGTGAAAATAGGTTAACGTGTACATGGATAAAGTCAAAGAATTGCACAAACTCTGTACCCATGTACTGCCAAAAATTGCCTATTTTCACCGAGGGGTACCTATATATATACTTTTACCAAAGCTAGTGATAATTAGAATTAAAGTGTTAACGAGTAAGGAATGACCTTTCCCTTTGCAATCCAGTGTGCTGAACACTCAACTATGACAATCATTTGCTAGAAAAATAATGGAACAAGGCCCTGTAATGGTAATTTAATTGATGTGCAATAAATAGAGGTCATATGGCCCAAGCTGTAACTGTCCTCGAAAATTTCTTAGCTGTATTTTATTAAATACTGTTTTACATTTAATTGTACTCAATTTGTTTTAGAAGCTATTAATTTTTAATGCATTTGATCCTGAGATACTTATAGATGCTTCTTGTTACACATGAAATAAAGTACAAAGTCTTTAATCCAGACTTCAGAGCTACAAACTTTCTGCGAATGCCTAAGCGCATAATGTGTTTACGCACGCACATAATACATTTACGCATGCTCGTTTAATGTATAACGGACGGTATAAGCTAGGCTAAAATTATCTAATTATCTATTTCAGTTACTGTTGCAAATTGCGCTGTTCCTTAAACTTCTAATTGGATCTGGCTTATTATTTTTTGCAGACTGTTAGAGCAATTTTATAAAAAGTATGCTTGAACTTTCGATTATGTCAAAAAGAGTTTTCGATTCTGGAGCTGCCATAGGATCTACAAAGCAAAAGCATGTTTCGATGTCCATCAAACAAAAAGTGGAATTGCTGCAAAAAATGGATATCCTTTGTTTCTCTAACCATTCCGAAATCTGTTTATCAATTTCACGCTGTTGTGTGTGTGGGGGGGGGGGAACCTCGTGGCGCGCAATGAACTATAAGTTGATCTGTCAGCACTATCCTTATCTTCATGGCAGATGTTTTTATTTTATTCGTTTATAATTCCTTACTAAATGTAGTATTTCATCTCAATGTACTACGTCTTTGATATGATTTAAATCAAATTCCTCGTCATTATAAATATCACAAATACACATCAAATAGTTTTCTGGTTGCAATTTTCTAATTTGGACTATGTGTAATATATGCTTTACCTATGCATGTGTTGAAAGAAATGTTTAATAAAGTAAACAGATAAATATTTAGTTTTTTTTTTTTTATAAATTTTGATACCCTTTAGATCGTAATTGCCCTTTGTTTCATAATTTTAATTTTATAATTTCTGCATGCCATCTTACCAGATTTAAATTGATCCAGAATTGATTTAAATCCAGGAAAACCCTAATCCGGAATCGCCGAAGTCACAACGAGTCCGGATTAAAGACTTTGTACTGTACCAAACATTTGTAACAATTAAGGACAATTTTACACTAAAATCTACTGACACTAGTCGTGCAGTTATGTGTCTTGCACTATCAAATTAAATGAATTATTGCATCTGTGGTGTCAAAAACATGTCATATGACACCTCATGCTTGGAAGGAGTGATTTGCGCACCCCACACACGATTTTCTCATTTCTGTGTGGTCTATCGCAACATAAAAAATTGTATGCCTTCCATTTAATTTCAATTATGTTTAGCAGTTTTATTTTATTTTGTAATATTCTGAAATAAAAAAAATGTAATATATGGAATTAATCTTTCATCTAAATTAAAATAATATTCTTACACAGCTATTCACTATTAGAATTCCTTTCTTGCATTAGGGTTACAATAAGCAATTTTGGTACCTTTGGCATTAACAATAACTTGATGATATTTTAGGGTCTTGATAATGGAATTGTACTGATAATATTTAGAAAAAATAGTAAAGGAAACTGTCTCAGTACTCATGAAAATTGACGGATGAATTATTTAAAATAATTTAAAATAAACTGTCTGTATGTCTCATTCACTAAAAAAAATATTTTGACATTAATGATGTCAATTTTATTTCAGTTAGTTCTTTTAATTAAATTGATTCCAAACTTTTCCTTTTCATGCATCCATTAATGAGACTTAATTATTTTGTGTTACCTTTAATGAGACAGACTGTAATTATAAAGAACTCCTAACCTCATCCTTTAAAACCTACAACCCTGACACTCCAGTATTCTCGTAATATAATGGTCCCGATAATGGACCCACACATTTTTTATTTTCCTTAATGAGAATAAATAATATTTCATAGTGTTTATAACAATTAGGTTATCGATGGTAAAAGACATTCCACATTCTATCATCATTCAATCCATATAATTTAATGCATTTTCAATGGCAGACCTATGGAAACAATATAAAACAAGTTTAAAAAGTTTTATCAATAACAGGCATACCTGTTTATCTTATTTGAAATTGAATACTTCAGCCCAAAAGTTTAAAATATAAGTTTTTTTTTTTTTTTTTTTTTTTGGTTAATACCCTCAAAGCAATAAAAGTCATTGTTTCCCTTCATAAAACAGGACTCATGTCACGAAAACAGAGTCCTTCAGAAACAGACGATGAAACAGTTCTTTAGAGATTGCTTTTTTTGTACACATCTAGCACATTCTACAGAGGACATCTGCACATACTTTTGATGATTTACAAAAATATTTTACCTAAAATTTTGATGTTTTAAATGCTCCATTTGATAACTCTTAAACTTTACTATCTTTCAACACCGTACTTTCCCCGATAACAAAGCTTTTTTCTAATGTCAAAAGGGGTATTTTATCCCATTCCTCTTTAACAGTTTTCCAGAGTCTATAGAGGATTCTTAAGTAGACATATGCACGATTCGCGTTTTACAAGTCCAGAAGCGCAAACATTCACGGATCATACATCAGGAGACTGAGGAGGGATATGGTTGAAATGGCTTCGATATCCATTTATTTTTCCATCTTTTTCCAGGAAATTAACAGAAGATATTGATGTGTGGCTGCTTGTTTTGTGTTGATACACTTTGTGGGTATAGAGAAGGTATTTCATATTTGAGAATTGAGTATAAAATGTTCCTGCAATGTCTATTTTTTTTTTTTTTTTTTTCCTTTGATGATAATAAATGGATCTACTTTTATTGTGATCATTTAAATAAAGCTAAGATTCTTTAATTGTTACAACATTTTTCCATTTTTGTTGAAATAACTTTTCCTCATAGAGAATTCTGCAGCACGTCTTGCTTTCACGGAGAAAGATGAGCCACATTGAATTTTTACACCTTTTTAACACACTTTTTAACTTACCAGCATTAATAATTTTATTTATACCTGACACTGAGCATTTAAATGATTATGCAACAGTGCTTTGAATTTGTGGATTTTTCTTTTAACATTAAAGTTCTTATCTTTGCAACATTTGAAAGCATTCAGCTTTTTCCTTGGATATGTAGTTTTAACAATTTTCCTCCTTAGAGCCATACTTTGATGTTTTTTTCCTTTGCTATTGACAATATTATTTATTGTTGCTTTAGATACCAGAAAAACATGGCTTTCACAGCATTTTTGAATGACTAGACATGAATAATTTTCTCCGGAAACCGCACACATTGCTTCTTAAGAAGTGCTATTATGCAAAAAAATGAAACTGTTATGCAACAGATGATAATTTATATTTTCAAAAATATAGTGTCGTAAAAAAAAATCCAAGCATGCGATTTTTTTTTTTTTGTATAGCAAAGCAAAGTCACCTAAAACATGTGCAAACAGCTTTAGAATATAGTCTTAGTCTTCTTTCAGAATACATCTCCTTGATAACATAACTAATCTACTATTGCCTCAAGAATGAGAAGTTTTGTCCTTTATATAGATAAACATGTTTCTTCAAATACTTCATATCTTCAAATGGTTTGTTATATTCATGATTTGTTACATGCATGGTATGAATCTATGCATCAGAACTCATGATTTGTTATGTGCATAGTCATGATTTATTAGATACTAACCTTAATATCAGAACTCGATGATTTGCTACATGCATAGTATGAATATGCTTGCTTAAATTACACTTACTTCTCCACATGTGAATACGCTTATGGTTGTTTAAATTAACCTCTTCACTAAATGACATTTTACATACTTCACACACATGAGATTTCTCTCCTGTGTGAATGAGCAGATGCTTGTTTAAACTGTATTTATGGGAAAATGACTCCTTACACATTTGACACACATAAGGTTTCCCTCCAGTGTGTATAAGCATATGATTCTCTAAAGCACCCTTTTCACTAAATGTCTTCTTACAAATTTCACAGTTGTGAGGCTTAACTCCTGTGTGAATACGCATATGTGTGTCTAAATTACACTTATTTCTAAATGACTTCTTACATATTTCACACACATGAGCTCTCTCTCCTGTGTGAATAAGCAAATGCTTTTTTAAACTGATTTTATGACGAAATGACTCTTCACATATTTCACACACATGAGGCTTCTCTCCAGTGTGAATTAGCATATGACAGTCTAAATTACCCTTTTGTCTAAATGTCTTCTTACAAATTTCACAGCCGTAAGGCTTTTCTCCTGTGTGGGTAAGCATATGCTTGTTTAAATTACACTTACCTGTAAATGACTTCTTACATATTTTACACACATGAGGTTTCTCTCCTGTGTGAATACGCATATGTGTGTCTAAATAGCGCTTTCGACTAAATGTCTGCTTACAAATTTCACAGCAGTAAGGCTTCTCTCCTGTGTGGGAAAGCATATGCTTGTTTAAACTGTTTTTATGACGAAATGGCTGCTTACAAATTTCACACACATGAGGCTTCTCTCCAGTATGAATAAGCATATGAATGCGTAAAGTACTCTTTTGGCTAAATGTCTCCTTACAAATTTCACAGTTGTAAGGCTTCTCTCCTGTGTGGGTACGCATATGCATGTATAAAGCACACTTACTTCTAAATAACTTCTTACATATTTCACACATATAAGGTTTCTCTCCTGTGTGAATAAGCATATGTTTGTATAAATAATGTTTTCGACTAAATGTCCGCTTACAAATTTCACAGCAGTGAGACCTAAGTCCCGAGTGAATACTCATATGTGCATCTAAATAAGGCTTTTGACTAAATGTCTTCTTACAAATTTCACACTTGTGAGGCTTAACTCCTGAGTGAATAAGCATATGTGTGTGTAAAGCACCCTTCTGAATAAGTGTCTGTTTACAAATTTCAGAAGCCTTCTCTCCTGTGTGGGTAAGTATATGCTTGTTTAAACTGTTTTTATGACGAAATGACGCCTTACATATTTCACACACATGAAGTTTCTCTCCTGTGTGAATAAGCAGATGCTGGTTTAAACTGTTCTTATGCCGAAATGGCTTCTTACATATTTCACACACATGAGGTTTCTCTCCTGTGTGAATAAGCAAATGCTTTTTTACACTGACTTTATAACGAAATGACTCCTTACATATTTCACACACATGAGGCCTCTCTCCAGTGTGAATAAGCATATGCCTGTCTAAAGCACTCTTTTTATTAAATGTCTTCTTACAAATTTCACAACTATAAATCTTCTCTCCTGTGCGCGTAAGCATATGCTTGTTTAAATTGTTTTTATAACGAAATGGCTTCTTACAGATTTCACACACATGAGGCTTCTCTCCAGTGTGAATAAGCGTATGACTGTCTAAAGCACCCTTCTGGCTGAATGATTTCTTACAAATTTCACAGTAGTGAGGTTTAAGTCCTGAGTGAATACGCATATGTGTTTAAATTACCCTTTTGACTAAATGTCTTCTAACAAATTTCACAGTTGTAAGGCTTAACTCCTGAGTGAATAAGCATATGTGTGTCTAAAGAACCTTTTGACTGTCTGCTTACAAATTTTACAGCCGAAAGCCTTCTCTCCAGTGTGGATAAGCATATGCTTGTTTAAATTGTTTTTATGAAGAAATGACTGTGTGTGATTAAATGATTTCATACACACTTCGCACACATAAGGTTTCTCTGGTGTGAGTAAGCATATGTTTGTTTAAATGGTCTTTACTTCTAGTATATAGTTCTTACATACTTCACACACGTAAGGTTTGTCTCTGCGTGAGTAATAAGTGCATGCTTGTTTAAGCGTGTAACTTGCATCATAATTTTAAAATAATCATTAGTACAAACTATACCTATGGTGCGGCAGAGTAATATCAGTTTCAACGAAAACACACTTTAATATCATGAAAGAACACAATAACTAGGGTCGTCTGAATCATTTAGTTATCAGGACTGCGTTAACTGTTCCTGCACGTAAGTTGACTCGTCGAAACTGTTGTATGAATACGAATTGAAGCATTTATTTTGGTAATTTATTTGATTATACTTTACATTGAATTATAAATGTCGAAATGTGTTGCCATGGGCTAATTACTAAACTAGACCAAAGAATAGCATTCTTTGACTAGACTGACAAAAGTCTAAGTGAGGCTTGTTTATGTGTCGGGCAATATAAACTAAAAATATATAAACATTAAAATAATTCTGTCAAAAGAATAAATAGTAAAGTTGTTGCAACTCTCAGGGCTACAACGTGCAGGTTACATATTAAATAATTGCAGCAGGGATTATTAATATAAAGATTTAATATGGAT